ATGGGGTGTTCTTGGCAAAGATACTGGAGTGGCATTGCCATTTCCTATTCCAGGTGGATTGCGTTTAGTCAGAACTCTCCACTATGTCCTGTCCGTCTTGGGTGTCCCTGCACGGCATAGCCCATAGCTTCTCTGAGTTGCTCAAGCCCCTTCGCCACGACAAGGCAGCAATCCATGAAGCGGTTTACAACTCTAGGAAAGACTAAAGGAGCTGTGCATGTTTAGCCTTGAGGAAGGAAGGCCGAGGGGAAGTTACCATCATCTCCTTTTTGTGCTCACCTTCTTCATGAGGATGTAGCTGCCGGCAGAGAGGGTGGGCCTCCACCTGTCTTCTTGCTCACCCCTTGAAATGAATTCCCTTCTCTTTTAAATGCTCCAAGAGAGCTCCCCTAAAATGGAGAAGGGTAGTGCAAATGGCTAAAATCCTTGTTCATTAGACAGAGTGTTGTCGAAGCTGGGCAAAGAGCAGCCTTCTAGCTGTAGTGGAGCAGTAGTTTAAGTCAGACATAACTAGCAGGAGGGGGGCAGGCATCTCATCACATCTGGAGGCGGCCCTTGGTCCATCTCTGGTTTAGTCCACGCCATTCAACCGTGATGGCGCTGTGGGCTAAACTGCAGAAGCCTGTGCTGCAGGGTCAGAAGACCAGCAGTCGTAAGTTCGAATCCACGCAATGGAGTGAGCGCCCGTCGCTTGTCCCAGCTCCCGCCAACCTAGCCGTTCAAAAGCATGTAAAAATGCAAGTGGATAAATAGGGACCACCTCGGTGGGAAGGTAACAACATTCCGTGTCTAAATCACACTGGCCATGTGACCACGGAAAGATTGTCTTCGGACAAACGCTGGCTCTATGGCTTGAAGAGCGGGATGAGCGCCGCCCCCTAGAGTCGGACACGACTGGACAAAAATTGTCAAGGGGAACCTTTACCTTTACTATTCAATCGTTCGAGAAGTTCAGCAAAGGACCGATTTGTATTTCTCTTCAAGCGAATAGTGGAGGCGTCCGTCGTAGGCCTCAGACGGCTTCTACAAGAAACAGGAGGTTCTGTCCATCTGTAATTCAAGGTGCGAAAAGGGTCTGAATATCAGACTTAGCTGCCTCCTAATTGGAACTCAGCGCATGAAATATAACCCAAACCAGGACTCCCATCAAATGGAGCCTATTTTGTTGGGGAAGAAAATGCTGATCTGCAGAGCCTCTGCTTTGATTTCAGGAAGATTTATTTGCCGTGGTAGCCAAATCTGGTGAAAATGTCGCAGAAGTCCCTGGGTTTGTGAAAGAGAGAACATCCAGGAGTGTAGCTCTGACTTCAAGATGAATTTTCTGTTAAGATGTAAGGAGTGGCATCAAAATAAGCCTTTACATATGGCAGGAATGAACAGGCTGCTGCTTCGGCAGAGAGATGCGCTGATTTGGGACCCCTACCTGCTAGGTTCCCATGGCAACAGCGCAGCTCCCTGGGAACCGGGAGCCCTGATACCGAAAGGTTCATCACGATCCTCCTCTTCCGTGTAATTTTATTATTCCGGCTGTGCCATGTCATGGGGTCTAGCCACGGGAAGGCAGGGTTTTTTTGCTCCTCCAGGACAAATATGTCTTGGTTTAGCCTGCCCCTCGGACCTTTAAGTCTATATCTATTAACCGCCCAGAGTAGACCTTTGGTCTAGATGGGTGGGATAGAAATCCAATCAATCAATCAATCAATCAATCAATCAATCAATCAATCAATCAATCAATCAATCAATCAATCAATCAATCAATCAATCATCTGAGCTGGAAAAAGTTGCTTTTTTGAGTTCCTGCTTCCACTTTCTCTGCTGACGGGGGGGAAGTCTGGGAACTGTAGTCTAGAGAAGCCATTTTTCCCTGCTCTGATGTTTGCTGTCTATTCCAGCGTTTCTTTAAAGCCGTGTTTCCTCCTTTTGAAACAAGGTTCAATAGATAAGCTCAGGGAGCCTGAAGGCTCAAATGTGTGTGTCCAAGCCTCTCCATGGCTGCAGGGAAGCCCGAAATAGCATTTGAACTTTTGTTTTAAACAAAGGGAATTGTCCAGAAGATCATTCCTTAAAAAAATTAGGGAGTCTTTGGAGGTGCAAGACATCAAAACTATTCCTGGAGGCTTTCAGAAATGGGGAAGAAATCTGAATTTCTAGTATCTTTTTTTAAAAATTTCCCAGCATTTTTATAAAAAACTCCAGGAGCTCTTTGAGTACAGTGAGAGGGCCACATGCAACCCCCAAAAGTTGTACTTTAAACCCTGCTCCCCGTTTCTTTAAAATCATGTAGCGACGCTCGGTGGTGGTTGAAAATACATTGGCCTGTCCAGTTGAGTCCTTGAATATTAGATTTAAGTACTAATTTTTTTGTTGTTGTTGTTGTCTCCTTCCTCCAAAGTTACGTACGAGAGAAGACCAAGACGAACGTCGACATGCGTGTCGGTGTGCACAGTGGCGCCGTTCTGGGCGGGGTCCTGGGGCAGAAGCGTTGGCAATATGACGTCTGGTCCACCGATGTGACCGTGGCTAACAAAATGGAAGCCGGAGGGATCCCAGGGTGAGCGCTTCCTTTGGGAAGCATTAACAAAATGCTTCTTACGTTCTCCCCAGTTTCATCATGCAGAGTGGGGCTTTCCAACATTGCTGCATTCATTTCCTTTTTTCTTTTTTTGATTCCTCGGAAATTCAAATCCTGCAGCAGGAATGGCCAAGATCTTGGTCTGTGCAGCAACGTTCCCTTTGACAGGATTTGGCCATTTTTTTGCACACAATGGACATTTTCCATTTCTACATATTTTCTGAAACATTCCCAGAGATTTCCAGGTGGTTGGTGAGATTTCTTGTGACCTTTCTCTCCTGGGTGATCCGCCTGTGGGGAAAATCTCAGGGGAGAAAAGAAAAGTGGATTATCTTTCTCCACTTTTCGGACGGAGGGAGAAGCAGTGAGATTCACATCCCTATGTCCGTGTTCTTTTTATGTGAATGTTAATGATTCCGGCTCTCCCAGCATGTACAAAGTGGGCAAGAGTACACGTAAATGTATTTAGAACTAGTTTCTCTCTCTGATGACTCTCTCCTGCAACTGGAAGCATTTCATGCAGTTGCTGGTTGCAAACTGTGTGCATGTGTGAATTTTTTTTTTTTTTTGCCTGTAAAATTTAATATGGGGCTGGACTGCTTCTTCAATTTTCTTGAAATTTCCATAGAGATAGTTCTGCCAGTTTCTTCTCTGTTGCAGGAAAGACAAATCTTTTTGGTACTTTGAGGTTTTATTAGATGTAAGCTTTAATGGATTGTTGCCCGCTTGCATCTGAATCAGCAGTTCCTAGTCCATAAAAGGTTATAACAAATAATAGTTACTAGTCTTTAAGATGCTACAAAACTTTGTTGCTGCTGTTCAAAAGACGTAGAGACTGAAGCTGTTGTACTTTGGGCACGTCATGGAAAGAGAAGATGGGTTGAAAAAGACAATAATGTTGGGAATGGTTGAAGGCAGCAGGAAATGAGGAAAGCCCAATACGAGATGGACAGAGTCCCTAAAGGGAGCCACAGGCTCGAGTTTACAAGAACAGAGCAGGGCAGTTGAAGACAGGACATTATGGAGATCCCTTTTTCATGGGATCACCACAAATCAAATGTGCCTTTGACGGCACATAATTACAACAGCCACCTTGTGCCAGAGGGGGATGAACTATGGGGGTAAATGTATGGTGCTGTGGTAGGTAGTGGTAAATATGGAGTTAATGAGAAAGCCATTTGAACTTCCTGGGAAGGCTGGCTTGAAGAAAGCTCAGCTTTCCTGTAACCTCAAATTTGGCTGCCTTCCAGGGTTGGAATGGAACATTTTGAGTTGTTCCTGCTCCAGGACCAGAGTGGGACCACTTTGGTAGGCTTGGGACTTTCATTCCCCCCCAGCATCTGCCACGACCTGCATGATGCCCAGAAATGGTCCATTTTTGGGGGGGAGATTTAAGCAGGAGCCAGAGAGAGAGAACTGCATTGATTGAATGAATGCCTGAACAGCATCCATCAGCCTTGTTTGCCCTATTGTGAATTCCACCTCTTCTGCACAATCACCAGGCTTATAGATTGTGCACTTTTCCAGGGGACTAGTGTTAAGATAAGGGACGTGGATGGCGCTGCGGGTTAAACCGCAGAAGCGGAGAACCGGATTGATTGAATGAATGCCTGAACAGCAGCCATCAGCTTTGTTTGCCCTATTCTGAATTCGACCTCTTTTTCACAATCACCAGGCTTATAGAGTGTACACTTTTCCAGGGACTAGTGTTAAGATAGGGGACGTGGGTGGCCTCTGTGCTGCAAGGTCGGAAGACCAGCCGTCGTAAGATCGAATCCCCGTGACAGAGGGAGCTCCCGTCACTTTGTCCCAGCTCCTGCCAACCTAGCAGTTCGAAAGCATGTAAAAACGCGAGTAGATAAATAGGGAACACATCAGCGGGAAGGCAATGGCGTTCCGTGTCTAGTCGCACTGGCCACGTGGCAACGGAAACTGTCTTCGGACAAACGCTGGCTCTATGGCTTGGAGACGGGGGTGACACACCGCGCCCTAGAGTCGGACACAACTGGACTAAATGTCAAGGGGAACCTTTAACTCATGTTAAGATTCCCACCCTGCTAGCCGGAGCTTGTCTTCCATTTCCCAAGCGATAGGAGAGCCCAGAAGGTGTGTGGAGTTGGCTGCACGGGGGACATGTTCTGTGTTGCCTGGCAGGTGGACCGAAACCGAATGGGAGGCTGCCCTGGGAGGGAGGGAAGGAGGGACGGACTCCCTCCCTCTACCCCCAGGGTTGTCTGCTGACCCCTGTTTCCTCTGTGACGAAGAATGAATAAGTTCGAGCTGCACTTGGGACTCATCATCTGTCTGAAACAATAGCTTTGGGGCAAGAGGTCAGACATAAAAAACGAAGCACAGCCGGCCACCAAGGCAAGGAAGTTCATAAATCTGTGTCCTTTTGAGTGGGTCAGTGGAGTTTTGGGCTCTCTGGGTTGAGTATTAATAGCAGTAAGGGTGCTATATTTAGAAGCAACGAAAGCTTGAAATGTTAAGGCATTGACCCGTGGTGGCCTTTGTGGAGGCCAAATTTAGGGGGATTTGCTTCCAGCATCTCTGCATGGAAATCTGAGAGCAAAAGAGAATGATCAGAGCCTTGAGCAGGGTTGGGTTTTTTTTGAGGGGGGCTCTACCAGAATTCCCCTGCCAACCCCCAAAAAGTAACTTTTCCAAGCTCCAGTCCATATTATTCGGCTGGTCAATTCCAGTTTCTTCTCTGCATCCTCTAGGATGTGATATGTTATATAGACAGCAAACAGGATGAAAAGGAGAGAGAAAGTGTAAAACCTACAACGGAAAGGGTGACAAAATATGGAGTAAAGAGGAGGAGAATCTCAAATAGAGCCCTCTAGCTCAGTGGGTCTCCAACTGGGTCCCCCCAGAGGTTCTTGGACTGCAATGCCCAGAAGCCTTCGCCACTTGCTGGGCTGGCCAGGATTTCTGGGAGTTACAGTCCAAGAACATCTGGGGACTTCAGTTGCAGAACCACTGGACTAGATAATGTGCAGATAAATGCTTGTACAGGATCCAGGCCCATGTAATTACCCTGAGAACTTGCCCGTCCAGGGTCAAGAAATCTGCTGCTTCCATTTTTCCATTTGTTGTTGTTTAGTCGTTAAGTCGTGTTCAACTCTTCGTGACCTCCATGGACCAGAGCACGCCAGGCCCTCCTGTCTTCCACGGCCTCCCGGAGTTGGGTCAACTTCATGTTGGTCGCTTCGGTGACCCTGTCCAACCATCTCATCCTCTGTCATCCCCTTCTCCTCTTGCCTTCACTCTTTCTCAACATGTTTTGGGGTATGTATGTGTTACAGACCTATCCGTTCTGAAGGAAGTCAACCCTGCGTGCTCACTGAAAGGACAGATTCTGAAGCTGAGGCTCCAATACTTTGGCCATCTCACAAGAAGATGGGGTCACGAAGAGTTGGACCCGACTTAATGACTAAACAACAAGATGTGTTACAGTACAGATGAGATGGCCTGGGAGTTATTACCGTTTCCCTCTTTGTTTTTATCCTTTAATACCAAAGTCATAGCTTCCCCATGTGCTTGCCTGCAGCATGGCTGCCCACATATGTTGCAAATCGAGCAGAGAGAACTGGTACCTTCCCATGGTCCTTGTATTCAAAAACTGGCCTTTTCTCTACAGAGAGCTCAAGAACAGTACATCATCTTGCAGTTGGACTGCTGCTGTAAATTACTATGCCTCTGGAATCCGTTCGGCATCTCTTAAAATCTGCCCACCACTGAGTGCTGATTACAGTGGTGCCTCGCTTAACGACGATAATCCATTCCAGGAAAATCGCTCTTAAACGAAAACATCATACAGTGAAATTAAAAAACCCATTGAAATGCATTGAAAACTGTTCAATGCATTCCAGTGGGCTAAAAACTCACTGTCCAGTGAAGATCCTCCATACGGCGGCCATTTTCGGTGCCTGTATGGTGAGGAATCCGTCCCGAAGCACAGCGGGGAGCCATTTTAAGCACCCGGTGGCCATTTTGAAAACCCGACGATCAGCTGTTTTTGATTGTCGTAAAGCGAAAATCGGTTCCTGAAGCAGAGAACCGATCATCACTAAGCGAAATCCCATTGCTTTGTGATCGCAATTGCGATAGCAAAAATATCGTCGTAAAGCAGATTCATCGTAATGCGGGGTAATTGTTAAGCGGGGCACGACTGTAGATTTTCTGTGTTCCTTCTAGGCGTGTGCACATTTCCCAGAGCACCATGGACTGCTTGAAGGGAGAGTTTGAGGTGGAGCCAGGAGACGGCGGATCACGGTGCGAATACCTGAAGGAGAAAGGGATTGTGACTTACCTCATACTTCTCCCCGAACAGCCACTCAAGAATGGGATCAACGGGGTGGTAAGTGTGCTTGGTACAACTTTGGGAAAAAATTCCCGTTCAGTCTGCCCAATGTTTGGGCCGGCACCCTCTGAATCCTTTGGAAATGTCTGTTTGGTTTGGATGAAGGCTGTGAGATGGGAGAGCGGGAAGGTCTACCCCTTTCCATCCCGCAAATGATGGTTGTCTGAATCAATTTACTAGCTGGGGCGGAGGAAAAAAAATGTACAGGCTTCTGTCGTGTCTCTCCGTTTCCCTTTCTGCTCTTGGCCTTCGATGGCTAATAGCAGATCTGGGTAGGAGCGTCCTTTGGTCTGGGACAGGCTGCAGCTGCTTTTAAAACGAGAAGTCTGGAACAGTTCTAACCACACATTTCTCATGCTATGACCCTGACCTGGTTTCTTGACCCCCAACTGAAGCAAAAGACACGTACACAGGCTAGACATTTTAACATGGGCATGCATTCAGTCCCGTCGGCCTATGTTTATACGGGAAGCAAACATTTTGTGGTCCAGCTTGCACTTTTATGCCGAGTTCTGACGTCAGATCTGCACTTCGCTGGAAAATGTGGGACGTTCGCGGGTCCCTTATTCATACACGAATACAACACTGGTATTCGGAAACAGTTCAGCCACACGCTTTAAAATGTCTTTTGTCAAGGCACCCTACGAAACAGTGTTTTATTTCACTGTGTTTTATATTCACGTTCTGAGCTAGGAATTGCCCTGTAGGATCCGATTGTAAAACCTCTTAGATTGTGTCTCTGGACTGGCTCAGGATTATCAAAAATGTATCTTGATTGAGGTGAAGATTTGTGAAGCACGCTGAACGAGTAGTTCCGAGTTTGCTTTTGTCCCTCTGGCTTGGGGGAATTTATTTCAAGACAGCAACTTTTCCACGCTCTGGGCTAGATCGGTGCAAAACCTGTGACACACTCCCCTTTGATTGTGTGTAAACAAATGAGCACATTGTTTGTGAAGGGAAATGGGGTGGAAGTAATAACTCCCCCCCCCACCGAAGCAGCCGGTTTTACGTCTTCACTGGGCCCCCAAAACAAAGCAAACTGACCAGAACATGGGCAAAACTGGGTGTATTTTCATAGTGGGAATGATGGAAACCATGAAAAATGGGCAAGTTGATGTTCCTATACGGGTGTATTTTCATAGTGGGAACGATGGAAACCAACGGGTGGTCTTTATCTTGCATGAAAAATGGGCAAGTTGATGTTCCTATAGTGATTTAAAACGTGAGAGAGATTTCGTGTCTGCATTCGCTTCAGTTTTCCCCACCACACGCTCTGTTCCATTTCAGTTTACTCCGACAGCCAGGGTCAGTGGAGTCTGTTCCTTAGCCTGTTACTCCATTCAGCTTGGCATTAAAATACTGGGTCCCAGAGGGGTCGTCGCTCTCAGGATTAAAGAGAAGCATTCAGTCTTGATTTCGGTTTGTCAGAGTTTAAATGTCAGACTCGGCATGTGCTTTTTCTTGTACAACCGCATCCGGTAGCTGTCCTTTTCTGCCACACACGCACATACACTGGAAGGTGAATGTTATTCCTTCCGGTGTTTAATCGGAATTTCAGTTTTGTGCTAGTTAGCTATTAACACATTCAATGTGTTATTTACATTTCTTTAAATCTCTTTAGTGAGCAGCAGCAAAACCAGCAAAGAGTCTCACGACACCTTAAAGCCTTGCAAGTTCTATTTGGCATGAGGTTTTTGTGGACGGTTGCCTCCTTATCTCGGATCTGCATCAAAAGAAGTGGTCAAGGGTCCACAGAAGTTTGTGTGAAATAAACCTATTATTAATCTTTAAGATGCCCCCAAGATTTTCTGCTTGGAAAGTTTTTCTTGTTTTGGAAAGGTTTTCTCGTCCCTCTGTGTTGTGATGGAATATTCCCAGGGTGGATCAGGGCCCTTGTGAGCTAGTAGATACTCACAGAGGGCTTCTTCTCACACACTGCTTTATGAGACAATCTACGTAGATCTGGGCTGACATGACCAAAATGCTCCATTTTAAAAAAAAGTATATGACACAAAAGTTTGACTAGCCTTTATCATTGGACCACTTATCTGATTTCAGACTCTAACCAGGGTTGAGATGGGTTAATACTTGGAATGGAAAACATCAGGGAATGCCAGGGGTCTGCTGCTAGGGCTAGGAACGAATCCTGCCAGAAACCCAGGGAGAGGTGCTGCCAGTCAGAGTTGTTTGTCCATCCGTCCGTCCGTCCGTCCGTCCATTCCTTTCTATCTATCTATCTATCTATCTATCTATCTATCTATCTATCTATCTATCTATCTATCTATCTATCTATCTATCTATCTATCTACCTACCTACCTACCTACCTACCTACCTACCTACCTACCTACCTACCTACCTACCTACCTATCTATCTATCTATCTATCTATCTATCTATCTATCTATCTATCTATCTAATCTAATCTATTCATTCATTCATTCATTCATTCATCCATCCATCCATCCATTCTTACCATTCTCCCCAAATATATTAAAAATCTAGAATTAATTTAAAAATATGCCCATTATAATTAGAAAGGATAATATACAAATGTTTAAAACATTTTTTAAAAAAGTCTTAAGTCCAATGCAAAAAAATCTTCTCCATCTCAGTTGTTTATTGACTGCTGAAGAGCCTCTCTAAAGATGTCAGTTTCCACCTGTGGGTGGAAGGAAAGACGGGGCCGGACCTTCCATGGGAGGGAGTTCCCCTCCTGCGGGAGTGGCCACAGGAAAAGCCCTCTCTTCTGGCGTCCTCTCACCCGATGCACTTGTGGAAGCGGTGGGACGGAGAGAAGGCCACTCTCTTGAGGATTGCCAGCCTCCAAGGGGCTTGTGCAGCAAACGTGAACCGGAGCCACACTATAGAAGCTGCCCGTCTCTCTGCCTCCCTTCAGACGTTGCCTCAGAAAAATGTCTTCTCAAAGCCTTTTTAAAATAAATACTGTAAATAATAAAAACACTTTCACTTACTGAAAGCATCATACCTGGGGCAAGAGATGTTTCGAGTAAAGCCTTTACTGGAGTTATTCTGCCTCATTCCTGAAATTTTATGTGTTGGGGATGAGCCACGGAATGACACCTTCTATTTGTAACCTCCCTGTATTTTACCACTGTAACAACTTCCTTTATTTTATTTTATTTACACACTCAAAAGACAATGTGAAGGAGAACATGACAGGATAGCTGCGCTTTTGTTTTTAATAATAGTCTTTCAACTGCCGAATGGGTAGGGGATTCGAACTCCCAACCTCTGTCTTCATAGCCAGATGCTTTAAACCAGTGGTCCCCAACCTTTTAGCCTCCACGGACCGGCTAGTGCCGGGGGGGCAGGGTGTGTGTGTGTATGTGTGCCCGTGCATGTGGGGGAGGGGTCGTGCGTGCATCTGCACATGCAGGGGGCAGATTTGTCTCCGTGGACCAGGAGGTTGTGGACCCCTCCTTTAAACCATTGAGCTATCCAGCAATTTTCCTTGCTAGTGACTGAGAGTTTAGGCATGGAAGGTTCCCCTTCCTGTGCATTTTGAGGGCTGAGAATGATTCCTGGTTTGTTTGTTTTTAAAATTAGAAGGGCATTGGAAAATGTTCCCCTAAATCCTGAATTTTAGGTCTGCGGAGACGTGGAAGAATGGAGAGAAAAGGAATCAAGGAACTATGGATTCCGTGGTTAAAGCTGACACGCGCCTCTTAATTTTTTTTAAAAAATATTCCGTTTTGTCCTGTAGAAATTGTCCGTCTCGTCTTCCCACGGGAACTCTCCTCAGCTGATCAACACCAAAGAATGCAACGGGAGCATAAACACGACCTGCACGTCCCCAGATGAGGCAGAGGAATTGGACACCAAGGTAGGCTGGCAGAACGGGACTGGAAAAATAACCAGAAATTCTGTACATTTGCACTCCGAAAACTGCCTTTTGTGATGCGAGCAAGTTGCAGAAATAAAGCAGAGCGCGGCTCATCCAAAGTATCGTATCTCTGGTGTTTTGTATATTCTCTCCCCTTCTCTTGTCCTTTGGGATCGAACTGAGCCTAGTAGTGCTGTGATTAAACTGCAATACTGCAGTCGAGCCTCTGCTCATGAACTTGAGTTTGATCGCAGTGGCTTTAGAGAGCCAGCTCAAGGTTGACTCAACCTTCCATCCTTCTGAGGTCAGTAAAATGAGAGACCCAGCACACTGGGGGGTGGGGCAAATTATTGTTTGCATGATTACGTTGCAAACCTCCCAGAGAGTGCGGTATATAAATCAAAACAGCGACCACGTTCATACTTCTGCTGTAGGGTTTCCCATCTGCTTTCTTTCCTGCTCAGGTGGTGAACCCTTCCTTCCCCAACCCTCGGAGACGCCTGCGCTTGCGTGACCTGGCAGAGAGAGTGGTGGACGCTTCGGAGAACGAGCAGGAACTCAACAAGTTGCTGAATGAGGCCTTGCTGGAGAGGGAGTCCGTGCAAGCGTACGTTGGACCCTTCCCACGCTTTGGGAATCTGCCGTGTGACTCCCAGAGCTTAGAAGAGTGGCTTTTGGGGGAACTACCATTCCCAAAAGCCATCCCCGTGCTGGGATTGTAGTGGGGGCAGCCCACACTATGAGGATTCCCATATACTTCCCCCAGCCTTGCTCCTTGGTATATCCCAACTTATTCTCCTTCACAAAGCTGTCCCTGCCTGCCCTGCGACACGTCCCACGTGAGGGTTCTGTGCACGGTCCATCCGTGGTTCATCTTCATGTGGACATGGGCAGGCTCTTCTCTTCCCTCTCTTTCACTGCTGTTTTTTATAGGAGAGAGTCTCTCACAGAGGACATCCAAACAGAACTCACCTTGTCATCCTTATCAGTTCATTTAGGTCTCATTTCCATCTTTTGCCAGGGAACTCCAGGTGTTCTCTGTGAGGCTCCCAACTGGTCCCGGCTCTGAGTAGCGGCTACGCCGTCCGACAGCATTTTGTTTAAAAATCCATACCAGAAATTGAGATCTCTGCAGGTAGTAAAGGTGCCCGGGAAAGGGGGAGTTATAAGGGGACTAGAATTCCTTTTTTAAAAAAAATTGTGGCCTTTCTTCCAATGCATCATCATTATGCCTTGTCTGCGTGGCCAGAAGTACGATGGCATGTTCAGGAAGTGAGCCTAATTATAATTAGTAAATTTATACGCTGCCTTTCCACTAGTAGGCCATGCGGACCATGATTTAAAAAAACAACAGCAACAAGAAAAACAAATTTAAATGTTGAATAATTAGAATAAAATAAAACACGATCCTTCCCGAAATGGCTGAGAGTCTGGAAATCAAACAGGAGGAAGATTCTGCCCGCCGGCCTGTTGGGTGGGCCTCTGCCGCTGTCAACCCCTCCTGAAGACCTTAACATCCAGGCTGGTTCATATCAAGGCAGGTGGTCCCTTACATACCAAGACTTTCAGCCATTGAGGGTTTTAAAGGTTAAAGCCAACACCTCGATTTAGGTCCAGTTAGAAAATGGCAATCAAAGCTGGGCTTTCAGTTTTTGGGTGGGGGCATATGATTGTCCCAGCTCCTGCCAACCGGGCCGTTCGAAAGCATGTAAAAATGCGAGTCAATAAATAGGTACCACCTCAGTGGGAAGGTAATGGCGTTCCGTGTCTAGTCGCGCTGGCCACAGAAACTGTCTACGGGCAAATGCTGGCTCTACGGCTTGGGAACGGGGATGGGTACCATGCCCTAGAGTCGGACACAACTGGACTAAATGTCAAGGGAAACCTTGACCTTATGATGGCAGTATTTTGCATTCGTCAGTAGCACAGCACCAGCGACATATCCCTGACCGTCTTCAAGGGTAGTCTCATGCAGAGTGGGTTGCAGTAGTCCAGATGGGAGGTAGCAAAGGCATGGACGACTGTTGCTGAGTCATGTTGCCTCAGGAGAGGTCATAGCTGGCGCACTTCAGTGGAGTTGTGAAAAAGCCCTCCTTGTCGATGCTACCAAATCAGAGTCCAGGGCAAGCCCAGAATTGGAAGCATCCTCTCCGACTGTGAACCGGACCTGTCAGGGAGAGCCTGTCAGCCTCTTCTAGGAAAAGTTGAATCCTGATGCCTGGTCCACCAGCAGCACCTACAGCTTCTCAGGATTTCATTTTAATTTTTCACCTCCATTTAGCTCATTATCAAGGTCAGGCAGCATTCTCGAAACCTGACTGCTCCTTTGCTGACTGGGAGCAATAGCGCTAGGTGTCCTCCGCATGCCGGCGGCCTTTCGCGCCAAAGCTCTGAATAACTTTCCCCAGCCTTTTCAGAGTAGCAAGTTCTTAGGTTCTGCGTGATCTGATTCAGTGTAAGAGCATTTCCTGTTTCCCAAAATAAGAGCCATATTGGATCAGACTAAAGGAGACCAGCATTTTCTTCCCACCATAGCCAGCCAGAAGCCTATAGGAAGCCCACCAGCAGGACATGGACAAAACAGCATCATCTCACTCCTATTTCCCAGCAGATAGTAGTTCTATGAAGACTGTTTTTTTTTAAAAGGTCTTGGTGTGATTGAACCAAAGACCGAAATAAACCTCGAATTGAAATCTCCTACATGAAGGTCATAGTGTGTCCCATATTTCTTGCAGACTGAAGGGCAGATCCACCTTCCGCCTGTCCTTGCGCTTTATTGACCCAGAGATGGAGACCCGTTACTCCGTGGAGAAAGAAAAGCAGAGCGGGGCAGCCTTCAGCTGTTCGTGTGTCGTCCTTCTCTTCACTGCTGTGGTGGAAATTTTCATCGATCGGAGGTGAGTGTGATGAAGCCTGTGGGGCTCTGTCTGTGTCCCGGCTAAAAATGCTACGTTAAACTCTATGCTGGGCTTATTGTTGCCTTAACGCAGAGTAGTTCAGGACAGAAGCGAAATGCTCCTCCTTTTGTCCTCTTGACAACCCTGTGACATCAGTCAGGCCCAGGGGAAATGATGGAGTCGAAGTGAGCTTCGTGGTCCAAAAAAAGGTTTGTTTCTAGTCATAGCTGTGTACTTTAAGCCAGAGGTGAACAGCTTAAGAGGTTTTAAGGGTCCTGAGAAATGGGGAGCTTCCATTCTGCTCTCTTGTGGAGAGGAAGAGAAACTAAGGGTTCCATATCTTTTTAATGGCTGCTAACCGACACATCGCAATGCTTTGACAGGGCTTTAAAAAAAGAGAAAACCTTGCGAAGCATTGCTGATACGTTAGCAACAATGGCAAAGAAATACAAAAAATCATGGTCCGCATGGCCTACTAGTGGCCATCTTATGTCGTTTCGTGCCTTCCCGTTGGAAACGACTTATAGCAACCCTAACCAGGTTTTCAAAGTAAGTGTGAGATTTAAGGAGTGGTTTTACCAATTCCACACCCCCTGGTGAGTTTCCGTGGCTGAGCAGAGATTTGAACCCAGGTCTCCTGAGGCCTAGTCCGTCGCTCTGTCCACTACACTACACTGCACTGGGTATTTCATCTTAGCTCTATGCGTCTAAAAATCCCCCAAATCCCATTGTCTCTGGAGGCAGGGCACAAGCATGGATCTTCAATCTTCCTCTTGGCAAGCTTTCACGGTTCCCTTTTCCTCCCTTCTCTTGCAGGTTGGTGGCCAACTACGTGACCTTTGTTGTCGGTGAGGTTCTCTTGCTTATCTTGACCCTTTGCTCTTTGGCTGCCATCTTTCCCAGGGTAAGGCGTGTTTCTTCCCCCATCTCTGGTCAGGTCCATAACTGTTATTCAGTGGTTGTACAAAACGCAAGCATCTGCTTATCAAAGTAGTCTTTGTGTGGTGGCAACACTGGGCCTACACTGAGCTTAACCCTTCCCCCTGCAAGGAAGGAATGGAAGAGTAATGTTCCCTCTTGTTGGATGGGGCCAGCTTCTGTTTTAAGTAGGTGCTATCCACATGGATGGTTGGAGTGGGCTATTTTATTGGTTGGTTGGCTGGCTGGCTGGTTGGTTGGCTGGTTGTTGGTTGGTTGG